TTTTTTTTTTTAAGATTTTATTTATTCATGAGAGATACAGGGAGGCAGAGACATAGCCAGCGAGAAGCAGGCTCCCTCTTGGGAGCCTGATGCAGGACGCAATCCCAGGACCCTGGGATCATGACCTCAGCCAAAGGCAGACACGCAACCACTTAGCTCCCAGGTTCTCAGGGTGCCAATTTCTCTGTATCCTCATCAGCACTCATTTGTTGTTTCTTTTGCTTTTGGTTTTATTTTATGGTAGTCATCCTAATGTTTATTAGGTGGTTCTCTCATTGTGATTTTGGTTTGCATTTCCCTAATGAGTGGTGATGCTGACCACCGTTTTATGTGCTTGTTAGTCATTTATATATCTTCTTTGGAGAAAGGTCTAAAAAAATATGCAAAGGACTCATTGTGCTCTTTTAATGATTTGGAGTTCTTTACATATTCTGGATTTTAACTCCTTATCAGATACATGATTTGCAAATATCTGCAAACCATTCTATAGGTTGCCTTTCACTCTGTTGATTTCGTCCTTTGATGCAGTCCAGTTTATTTTTTCTTCTGTACTGTTGGTGTTCTAAGAAATCCTAACTAAATCCAATATCATGTACCATGTCCTCTGTTTTCTTCTAACAGTTTCATAATTTTAGGATTACATTTAGATGTCTAAACTAACTAAATTTGAGTTAATTTTTATATATGGCATAATATAGGGGTATAAGTTCATTATTTTGCTTGGGGATATCAAGTTTCCTAGCACTGTTTATTAGAGAAGATGTCGTTTTCCAGGCTTGACACCCTTGTCCATAATCATTTGTTCTTATGTACATAGGTTTATTTCTGGGCTCTCTATTCCATTGGTCTATATGTCTTTTATGAAGGTATCATATTGTTTTTGATTCTTGTAGCGTTGTCATAAATTTTGAAATCAGGAAGTATGAGACCTCCAACTTTGTTATTCATTTTCGGAATTGTTTGGCTATTTGTGATCTTTTGAGATTCCCTATGAATATTAGGATGGATCTTTCTATTTCTGTAAGAAACAATTGGGATTTTGATAGAGATTACATTTAAACTGTATCTTTGGGGTAGTATTGGCATCATAACTATTAAATCTTTCCAATCCACACAGAATTTCTGTCCATTTGTGTCTAAATTCTTTCAGCAGTGTTTTGAAATTTTCTATGTAGAAGTCTTTCACCTCCTTGGCTACGTTTATTCCTAAGTATTTTGTTCTTTTTGATGGTTATTAATTTTTAGGAATGTTCGTTATTAATATATAAAAATATAGGTGATTTTTGTGTATTGATTCTGTATCTTGCTGCTTTACCAAATGAAGTTATTCTTAGTTTTTTTTATGGAATCTTTTGGGTTTTCTGCATTTTGTGTTATCTGTGAACAGGAATAATCGCTTCTTTTTTATTTGAATGCCTTTGATTTATTTTTTCTCCCCTAGCTGCTCTGACCAAGATTTCTAGGACTATGTTGGATAAAACTGGCAAAAGCAGGTATCCTTGTCTTGTTCCTGATCATAGAGAAAAAGCTTCCAGTCTTTTACCAGTGAGTATATGATCTGTGGGCTTTTCATATATGGCTATTATGTTGAAGTGGGAGCATTCTGTTCCTTCTGTAATGTTTTTATCATGAAATTGTGTTGAATCTTCTCATATGCTTTATCTACATCAATTGAGAGGATTGTGTGTTTTTTTTCCTTCCGTTAATGTGGAGTGTTCCGTCAGTTGATTTTTTGTATGTTGAACCATCATCCTTGCTTCCAGGAATATATTCCACTTGGTCATTCTGTATAATCCTTTTCATGTACTGTGGAATTCAGTCTGCTATTATTTTGTTGAAGATTTTCACATTTGTGAGGGATTATTGGTCTGTAGTGTTTTTGTCTGGCTTTGGTATCAGGTTAATGCTGGCTTTTATTGAATGAATTTAGAAGTATTTTGGTCTCTTTAATTTGGGGAAAGAATTTGAGGATGATTGGTGTTAATTTTTCTTTAAATATTTGGTAAAATTCACCAGTGAAGCTATTTGGTTTGGGGATTTCCTTGTTGAGAGGTTTTTAAATACTCCTTCAATCTCCTAACTAGTTGTGTATTTGTTTGGATTTCCTGTTTCTTCATCATTCAGTTTTAGTAGACTGGGAGTGTCTAGGAGTTTATTTCGTCTAGGTTATCCAGTTTATTGGTATACCATTGTTCAGAGTATTCTCTTATCCTCTGTATTTCTGTGGTATCAGTTGTAATGTCTTCTCTTCCATTTATAATTTTTTTCTGTAAAGTCGGTTGTAATATCCCCTCTTCCATTTCTGCTGTTGAGTCTTCTCTTTTTTTTCTTAGTCTAGAGTAAAGGTTCGGCAGTTTTGTTGACCTTTTCCAAGAACCAGCTCTTGGCTTCATTGATTTTTCTCTGGTTATTTTATTCTCTATTTCATTTATCTCTAACCTATAGTATTTTCTGTTTTCAACTAGCTTTGGGTTTAGTTCTCTAAGTTATAGTTAGGTTGTTGATTTGAGATCTTTATTCTTTTTTAACATAAGCATTTATAGCTATACATTTTCCCCTTAGTATTGCTTTCCCTACATCCTATAAATTTTGGTACATTGTGTTTTCATTGTCATTTATCTGAAGATATTCTCTTATTTCCCTGACAATTTCTTCTTTAACTCATTGATTAAGAGTGTTAATTCTCACATATTTATGGATTTTCCATAAATTCTGTTGAATTCTAGTTTCATTTTACTGTGAGCAGGATAGATACTTTGTATGGTTTCAGTCTTTAAAAATTAATACTTGTTTCGTGGCCTAACATGATCTAGGCCAATCTTTCATGTGCATTTTTTAAAAATGTGTATTTTGGGGCACCTGGGTGGTGTAGTCGGTTGAGGGCTGATTCTAGGTTTTGGCTCAGGTTGTGGTATCAGCATGGTGAGATCAAGCTCTGTGTCAGGCTCCATATTCAGCAGAGTCTGCTTGGGTTTCTCTCTGCCCTTATTACCCTCTTCTCTCTATCTCAAATCTTTAGAGAAAAAAAAAGTGTATTTTGCTTTTGTTGGTTGGAATGTTCTGTATATGTCTTTTGGGTCCAGTTGGTTATTCAAGTACTGTTCTTATTGCTCTTTCTAGTTATATCCATAGGTGGGGTATTGAAGTCTATTATTAATTGCAGAGCTGTTTTTTTCTTCTCACCAGTTCTGTCATTGTTTGCCTCATATATTTAGGAACTGATGTTTGGTACATATGTAATTGTTAAAACTCCTTGGTGAATTGAGCCTTTTATTAAAAAATGGCCTTTTTTTGTCTTGTAACTGTTTTGACGTAAAGTCTATCTAATATAGCCACCTCTATCCTCTTTGGGTGCTATTTGCATGCAGTATCTTCATCCTTCATCTATCTATATATATATCATTAGATCTGAAGTGAGTCTCTTGTAGACAGAATACACTTATGTCTTTTTTTTTTTTATCCAATCTAGGGGGAATTTTATTCATTTACATTTCAAGTTATTACTGATGGGGAAGAACTTTCCTATTGCCATTTTGTATTAAAGTTCTTAAAGCTCTTCAGTCACTTAAATGTCTTAATTTCCTAGGAGCTTCAGCCCTGCTTCTTCTAAGGGCCTTAAATGTTATATTTTATTCTTTTGCCTATAATCTCTTGCATTTGTGGTTCTGCAGACCCCCTCTAGCCCTCATGTGCAGCATTTCCCACTACTTTCAGCAGCCTCCAACCTGATAATCTAAACTGTGCCACCATTCCTTCAGTGCTCTGAGTCAGACAAGACAGTCCCTCAAACAATCCTCAGACAAGTCAGAACATTACAATCAGGTTCTACTCTTGTTTCCATGAATTGAGAGGCTTCCTTCCATATCCCAGGAGGGTAAGGAGAAAGGGTGAGCATAAATGCCATGATATTTCCTATCATTTTGAATGTGGCTTTTACTTGGTTAGGTGTTTGCTTGGTTGTTACTGCTACTTAATTGGCTTCTATAGTTCTTATATTGCATTGTATCTTCAATGTTTCCATGTGTGTTCATTGGGGGCAAGGGCCTGGAGCTTCCTAATCTACCATCTTGGTGACATCAATTATCTTTTAAAGTGATTTATTTTAAAAAGAAAAAGTCTAATATTTATTATATGTTATTATTTCTGGTACTTTTTTATGCATGCATATGCATATTCAGATTTCCTTCTGGTATCATGGTCTGTTTTCATGAAAGACTTCCTTTAACATTTAAGTAGATCTTCTTATACTTCATTAAATTTTACTGGTCTGTTTTAAAGTTCACTGGTCCTTTTTCTGCACTGTCCAAATTGCTGCAGAGCTCATTCAGTTAATTTTTGCCAGAATTACAAACTCTTTCTCCCTTGTCAGGCCAGTGGCTGAATTCTCTGCTCAGCTTGCTAGACCACAGCTATTGTCTTTCTTGTGTTTCTAGGGGTCTCACCCTGCACATGGGTATTTGGGGTATTTAGGTGTCTGCCAAGGATTTGAGGGAATTTCAAGGGCTCCATTCTTTCTAGGATTTGCCGCCTAGAAATTTCTACCACCCTGGCAAAGCTGCTGTCTCATTCCTCAGCCCAGTAAGACTACTTTTTCTGTAAGGTCTCTCTTGTGAACCCATAAGGTAGAAAGTGCTCTGAGAAGTCAGCTGAATGTGGACTTCAGCCAGTATATTTCCTTTTTTTTTAAGGATCATATCACTTCCAGTTTCTGCTCACTACCAATTACTCATCTATACCTTCAAATGTTTTTTGTTACCCTCAGAAGAGTTGTCTATTACAAGCCGTCATTATTGGAACTGAATTATTTCTAAAATGTTTACAATGTGTGAGACATGAGCATCACTACAGGTTATCAAAGTTACATTTATTCAGTAATGCAAAGAAGACAACAAAAATTTTATATTTCAGTTAAAAAGTTATAAAAACTATTGTCATGTTAGTAATATTTTTTCCAGTAAAGATTGTGAAGACTATATGGGATTTTTTTTTTCCTTTTGCAGGATATAGCCAATGAGGAACACCAAAAAATTGAAGCATTAAAATCAGAAAATAAGAAGCTAGAAAAACAAAAAGGAGAATTAATGATAGGGTTCAAGAAACAATTAAAATTAATTGATATTTTAAAAAGGCAAAAGGTGAGTCTGTCCTTAAAAAACACAGGAATAGGGATCCCTGGGTGGCACAGCGGTTTGGCGCCTGCCTTTGGCCCAGGGCACGATCCCGGGGATCCGGGATCGAATCCCACATCGGGCTCCTGGTGCATGGAGCCTGCTTCTCCCTCTGCCTGTGTCTCTGCCTCTCTCTGTCTCTCTCTCTCTCTGTGTGACTATCATAAATAAATAAAAATTAAAAAAAAAAAAAAACAAAACACAGGAATACCTGGTGGCTTAGTCAGTTAAACATCTACCTTTGGCTCAGGTCATGATCCCAAGGTCCTGGTTGAGCTCCACATCAGGCTCCCTGCTCAGTGGGGAGTCTGCTTCTCCCTTTCCCTCCCCCTGCTCCTTTTCTCTCTCTCTAAAATCTTAAAAAAAAAAAAAAAAAAGTTAAACCATAGATATTATTTGGACTGCTCTACTAAAATAGTTACTTCTACTTTAGATATGTTTTATAGTTTGACATTCTTAGGCACAAAATTTTATCTATATAACATACACAATAAGATTTATATATCTGTCATCCAAGCACATGGATATTTTCCTGCAAGTAAATTAGTAATGTGGCAAATGGGACTGGAAATACAGTATGGGTACTCCCTAATTATATACAACTATTATCTTAGGGGATTGGCTTGCCTCTTGAAACATTGAAGATTGATTCCAAGCTATATTCCCTTCTGTGCACATGAATCACCTGGTAGTGAGAGGATATGAAGTCATGGTTCTGCCACTTTCTCTTTTTGTAACAGTTAAATGTTACTATATTTATAATTTATAAATTAAAATGTTACTATATTCTCTTAATAGATTGGTGCAGTAACCACCATGGGCAAAATAGGCTTTTACAGGCTGACCATTGAATGTAATTATTTCAAATCTCACGTTTATTGGAATTCAAGTACACATTCCAACAGAGCTGATAATTGATAGCATATTTATATACCTTTATCAATTTTCTCTTGTTCTGTAGTCTACTTTTAATACTAAAACAATATTGATTTGTTATAAATGCAGATGCATATTGAAGCTGCCAAGATGCTGTCTTTTACCGAAGAGGAATTTATGAAGGCACTTGAATGGGGAAATTCATAAGTGATCTACTTTATAACTATGTGACCCATATACATTGTATTTAAAACTTTAATGATTTATTCTTACTCTTTATAAACTTTGATTTCATTGGCTTTCATCAGGTAACTCCAGAGAATTCCCTGTTTAGATTTAGGGGATACAGAATTGACATGTAATTATTAAAGGAAATATTTTATAAAATAGGATAACCCACTTGTTCATAAGTGATAGTTTGTGAGATAGAAATTGTTCTTCTTGACAATAAAGCACTTTGAAATTCCTCAGTTTTAACTGTTCTTTTCCCTTACAATACAGAGGAAAAGATACTTTGGCCAAATCTGGGAAATAAAGTTCCTAAAACACAAATACCTGTGGAACTGCAGTCTGAATGGAGATGCAGAAAAAGCTCTGAGCAGCAGCAGTAGAATGGAGAAATTAGTCTCTTGGGTAGTGATATGGAAATCAGATCTTCAAATTACCATTTCAAGAACAAGAGTTTGTCTAAAAGCAATTTTGTAGCTAAAAAATATTCTGTAATTTTTTAATTAGAAAACAACTGTTTACAAAAATAGATTACATTTCAGTGATAGTGAATCCATAAAACAAAAGTTATGGTGACATCTAGTGGTAAAAACAATCTGGGTTTTACCAAATCTTGATGGTATCATTTCTCTCCACAAATTTCACTCCTTTTCTGATATGCTTTCCTAAATTCTTCACCAAGCATATTGATATCATCCTCTTTTTTAAAAACTCCCTACAAGAAAAAAATTTTTGTGGGTTACTTGAAATACCAGAATACCAGAGCACTTCACTAAATTTTAAGACTAACAAATACATAGACTACAAATTTGTGAAGTTATCGCCAAAATAATGAAATCTATTTAATAGGTTTATGAAAAATAACACTATTCTTTGAAAATTATATTAAATATTCTTTAGTTTGATATATCTTTCAGCTCCAGTGTAAGAATTTGTAATACAAATCTGGGCTCTTTGTCACCACTGCCTGCACTGGCTGAATGAGAAAAAATTTAAGGTATGAGAGAGAGGTCAGGGTAAAGAGACTGAGCTTTGCCAGGTTCGTGCATGGGATTGACTCTTGCCTCCACTCAAGGACTGATCAGCTAACATTTAATCTTCTAGGAAAGTCTCCAGGCTTGGAGTTACACCATTTAAACAAGCCCTATGAAAATCTCCAAGCTTTTATTTACTTTTCTTTTCCCTTATACTATATATAAAAGGCTCTTAAATATTTACTTATATAATTTAAAGGAGCTAAAGAATAATTCAGGTCATTTGAGAATTATTAGGTTTGTTAGACTCTCCCCCATCTCTACAATTATTTCCTTTTAAAAATCTCTAAATCCCAGACTCTCTGGAATTTATAGTCTTGTTTTTAAATTAATACATCATTTCATATTCATTAATCCTATCAACCAGTTAGACTATAACATCCTGTGGAAAAGCAATAATTACTCATTTCCCTTTCTCCTTCCTTCCTGAGCACTGCATTGAACACAAAATAAGCACCAGTTCTTCCAAATGAATAAAAAGTCAAATGACATGTCTATATTTGAAGGATGGAAATCGTATTTACAAGCATCCAGATGTTTACATGGTTTATGAAACTTATTTGTTACTTCATTTATAGTCAGAATGTATCTCACCACTTATACATGAAAATGTTATCTTTTGGAAGTGCTTTTAAAAAAACAAGCTGCCTACTACCTACTTATAGCCTCTCATTCATCATACAGCAAATCTGTCTCGGACTTGGTTCAAGCAGGTGTCTATTAGCGGTGTTTCCAATTACAAGAGTTTCCTGCGTATTATCAATTTTGGTGTACAAAGTATCACAACTGCTTTAGGGTAGTTTAGTTTTAGACTTACTACACCAAAAGGGAAGAAAAAAATTCTAGAATATAAATTCAGGAAATCTAGTGTATACTTCTAAGAAAGTTCAAGACCAATGCTCTCATTTTAGAGACAGAGGTCAATGACTGCCTAACATCCCACTGCTACTTTGTAACGCCAGAACTAAGTGAAACACAGGCCCCCTGAAATCCTAATTACCATGTATTTTCCCTGCTATTAGAGGACAGGAAGATTATACCTTGAGTTAAATCTCACTTACTTTAGGGAGATATCCTAGTAATTTTGTAGCATGTTCTTTAAGAAGTTTTAGTCTTTCTTCTTCAATAATTGCATTAATGGATCCTTGTCGTCTTTGCTGCAACTGCCATTCTTCCAGTTCACGTTGCTGGAAACAAAATTTTATTATTATTATTCTGGTCATCAGTAGGCTGTTAGTTAAGTTTGGGGGAGTCAAAAGTGTATGTGGGTTTTTCACTGGGGTTGGGGAGGAAGTGTCAGCACCCCTAAACCTGTGCTATTCATGGGTCAACTAAATTGCACAATTAGCAAATTACAGCTACCAAATTCTATAAATGTTTACAGATTTAAGAGTTGTGTTCTTAGTATAATTTTATATTTAATCAAGTCTTTTCTTCCTGTCTACCCATACAGGAAAAGATCATCACTTTATTAATTATTAATCCCAGCTCTGCCATTTACTTGCTGTGAAACTTTGAGCAATATATATAATCTCCCTCTGCCTTAGTTTCCAATAGTACCTAACTCAAAGGGTTGAAAGTTTAAGGTTATCACTTTGCTTTTAATGGACTTAGAATAGTGAATGACACATGTAAACACTCAATAACTGTTAGTGGTTATCACTACCACTTCTATTAATATTTTAAAATATCATATGCCTAATCTGTACTCTTCATATTTAGAGCTGTTTATGTTTATAAAACACATGTTATCTTACTTGGTTCTCAAAGCACAACAATCTAGTGAGGCAGATTATATAAGTATTATTTCAGGCTTATGAATGAAACTGACAAATCGATGTGTCCAAAGGCACAAATCTAGTTCCTTCTCTCTTAAATCTACATTTCCAACTAAGAAATCTCCCTGGGGCCTCAAAATTAATGTGGACAAAATGGAATTACATGCCCCTTTGAAATCTATTTTTGTTTTCTTTAGGACCTCACCTACTCACTCACTGAAGATGGAAGCAATAGTATTATTTAGTAGTAGCAGCAGCAGCTATAATCCTGATCTCACCTCTCCAGACCTAACTGGTCACCAAGCCCCATCAAGTGTATCTCTTGGACAGGCCCCTTCTCCATTTGCATGGGCTTTCTCTGCCTATCACGGACTTAACTATAGTAATGTCCTAACTGGACTCCCTGTCTCCAGTCTTACTCCCCTTATGTCTACCCCCAATACCCCTACTCAAGTCATCTTGCCAAGTGCAGAACTTATGTAGCTTTCTTCTTTTTTTAAAGATTTTATCTATTTATTCATGAGAGAGACAGGCAGAGGGAGAAGCAGACTCCATGCAGGGAGCCTGACGTGGGACTCAATCCCTGGTCTCCAGAATCACACCCTGGGCTGAAGGCAGCGCTAAACTGCCGAGCCACCCAGGCTGCCTAGATTTCTTAATTCTTCACCGGGTCCCCCTGCATAAAGACCACTTTCCTTAAAATAGCATCCAGTGCATTCATGATGTGTCCCCTCTACCATACTAAGATCCCCACACCTTATAATTATTATCACAGGTACTTGGCCTATCTTTATAATGATTGTTCTTATATATTTTCTTTAACCAAGACCATAAACCCATAGATATCATGGACTTGGTTGTATTTATGTTCTCAAAACCAACCAACCAGTATCCAGTACATAGAAAGCATCAATATATTCTCGATGCATTAGTAAACGGTCAGAAATATCTATACCATATAATTAGTAAACAGATACCTAACCACCTCTGGCACATATAAAGGTCTCAGTTAAACATTTAGTGGAGGAGCAGATGAGCTGATTGTTGCTCAGTGATAATAACAAAAAAGACGCAACAGTTTTTCTTACTTTGTCTGCAAGGAACTGGTTGCGACGCTCTTCAATGAGTTTTTCCACAGCCCTCCTGTGTTCTAGTTGCTTCATTCTTTGTTTCTGAGCATTCATCAGTTCTATCCGATCGTCTTCAGCAAGTTTTGCGAGCATAGCCTTTCGAAAGGTCTCCTCTTCCTCTTTGGCAGCCTGGAGTACTAGTTCCTTCAGGGCCATTTGTTCTATAAAATTTTGCTTCAACTCCTTTTGCTTTCTCAATTTCTCTTCTGCTTCCTCCTAAACAACAATACATATAAACATTAATTCAGTAACTGTTTCTTTGCAGCAGATTTATAATGAAAGGGTGGAGAGAGTTTGGTTGAGCACAGTGTTACAATATGAAATAAAACTGAAAAATTAAACCTCTTCCAGATAACACTTTTCCCCATCTTTTTAAAACTCGTTTGGATAAAGGACATGTTACGTTTTGATTGACTTATTTTTAAATTTTAATTTGTATATATTTTGGAAGGAGCTGATAAAACTTTTTTTGCACACCTGGGGTTATTAAATCTGTGCTCTGTGAAATCTGTACCGACTATGAATCATTCTAGAATCTTGCCTGAAACTTTGGTTCAAATCACTGATAGTATTTTTCAGAATAATCTCGAAATGATAATCACAAGTTTTTGGGGGAAATTCAAGTTTACTTAGAGCAGTTAAACTCTTTTCCTATAAGCTTTAATTTTCCTAACATGTTATTATGAAAAATTTCAAACACAACTGAAAAATGTTTACAGTGACCACCCATCTACCTAACACCTAGATTCTATCAATAACATTTTACTATTTTTCCTTTATCATCCAACCAGTTAGGACTGATGTAAATTTTAATTCCTTCTCAACTGTAACCAACCTTACCTAATTCTAACACAATTTCCAGGAGGCAAGCCATTATCCTTAAGGCATTCGAAATACTGCCTTAACAACAGCTGTGTGGTCAGGGCTCTTACAGTTAACACAAACTATAAGGGATTTACTACAGGCCAACAGGTGGCAGAGAAAGAACCTCCAACAGGGCCAGGAAGCAGCTGCCATCTTGGTTCCCATCTATCTTTGGTTAACCATCGTGGCTCAAGTTCCATGGCAGTAACTACCAAAGCTACTCTCAATGCCCCAGTCTTCCACGTGTGACTGCAATTTTACTGCTCACTTCTATCTTCACATCTTGAGGTGAAGTGATAACTTTGAAGATAGCCTAGGTCCTATGAAGAATTCTAGCTAAAAGAAGGGAAATGTGGTTTTAACTTTACAGTCTTTTTTGAGACAAAAAGGACAGGAGTGGGTTTTAAGTGAGTCAATCTGAAACATCAGTTATAATAACTTTGTTCATTATCTTGAATATTCAACCTCTTTTTCCTCACTTTATCTAATCTGTTCAAATCCTGCCTCCTCCAGAAAGTCTTTTCCAATTACTTCAATTCCCACATCTGGGCCTCTGATACCATTTAATTTTCCCATCATTTAATTTTACTTCATATTCCCATGTCTTTTATCTCCTCACTAAGAGTAAATTCCTAGAGGGCACATTTTTATATTATTTTATATATTATATATATTGTTTTTCCTTGGGATGCTAGGCACAGTATTTTTTATGATTTTATAGTTTGTGTTCATCTGCCATGTATTGTATAGAAGTCAGTCAGAAGGCTCACTGAAGGCAGATACTGTCTCAGCTTTGAATTCCTCTGGAGCTTGTCATAATACCATATACACAGAAAACATACATTGAACCAAATGAACTATTGACATTTCTGGCATCCATCTACCATACAAATTTTAGTATTATCCAATCATTGGTAAAGACATCTGGCTAAAAATCAGGGAAGTGTTAGCAAAACAAAACAAAACACAATTGATTATATTTTTTTTGACTAGAAAAGTATTCTGTACTCTTTATCCTGTCTGGGTCAGGATTTTATACGTGTGTGTGTGTGTGTATAATATAAACCACATAATTTTACATCCCATAATGTTGTTTAAGAAATAGCTATTCACTGAAGGTTTGAAATACTTTGCTATAAAAACTACTCTACGCCTGGAAACTTTCAGAGGTATCTTGGTCTGGGTTCTCCTCTGAAAGCAGAGCCCTTTACAAATATTTGTATATACATTTTTTATGAGAGGGAGATCTCAGGAAGCAGCAGTGAGCGTCAAGCAGAGAGAAATAAGGGAAGGAAGAAAAGCCAACACATGGGTGCATCACTGAACTGGTTACTATGTGGGCAGCTGTGGGTGAATCCTGCCAGGACCTTGTAAGGAATGCATGGAGCATCTTTCAGGTCTGTCCCCAGGCTGACAGGAAGAAGCATTCATCCTTTAATCTCTGTCCCCTGTTGGTTGAGGGATGCCCCACAGGGTGTTAACTCCCTGTCCCCACCAACACTGCCACACTTTGGAAAGCTGTCAACAGAGTCAGTATAAGCTCTCAGGAGTGTTCCCCACAGCTGTCCCTGAAATCAAAGGTGGGAATAAGAGGGTATGAGGCAGGGCATCAAAAGCTTTTCATATGATATATCCTTAGTAATTTTATTTCATCTTTTTCCATTTTTGAAATCACCATATTTTTAATGCAGAATATTGTACATTAAATTATCTTCCCATTTTAGGAGTATACAATTGAATGATCCTTTCACTATTTGTTTAAAAAGATTTATTTAACGGATGCCTGGGTGGCTCAGTGGTTGAGTGCCTGCCTTTAGCTCAGAGCGTGATCCCGGAGTCCTGGGATCGAGTCCTGCATCCGGCTCCCTGCATGGAGCCTGCTTCTCCCTCTGCCTGTGTCTCTGCCTCCTCACTCTCTGTGTCTCATGAATAAATAAAATCTTTTTAAAAAATAAAAAAATAAAAAGATTTGCTTAGGGACGTCTGGGTGGCTCAGTGCTTGAGGGTTTGCCTGCAGCTCAGGTCATGATCCCAGAGTCCTGGGATTGAGTCTCACATCAGGCTCCCCACAGGGAGCCTACTTTTCCCTTTGCCTATGTCTCTGCCTCTCTCTGTCTCTCATGAATAAATGAATCTAAAAAATTAAAAGATTTATTTAAGAGAGAGCACATGTGCGCAGGGATGGAGGAGGGGCAAAGGGAGAGGGAGAGAGTAAGTCTTAAGCAGACTCTACACTGAGCTTCATGCCTAGTGAAGCTCCATTTCCCAACCGTGAGATCATTAGCTGACCCAAAATGAAGAGTTGGACATTCAACTGAATGCACCATCCAGGTGTTCCACTGTTCACTATTTTCTAATCTTTTTCCTTTATGGACCCTTTAGTCCTTTTTGTTTTGGTTTGCTTTTCTTCTTTAGTATGTTTTTCCAGAGTAAAATCCTTGTCCCCCAATACTAAGTAATCGGATTAATTATGCTAATGTATTTTCCTTACTTTCAGGAAATTTCCACTTGTATCTTTATGATTTCCTTCCATATTATTGCCTCATACTTGAATTTGTCTTGTTTTTCTAAGTTACTGAGTTGGCTGCCTAGATAAATTTTACCAATATTTCTTGTTTAATAATCGATTGCCTCAGAGATCAGTTTTATAAATCTGTTAAGATTTTGATATGTAGTAATCTCATCCTTTAAATTTAACCGGCAAATTTCCTCTTCAACCAATAATGATTGAAAAAAATATTTTCAGACTTTCAGTTAGAAGATGAAAATATAGTGGTGTTAAGCACCATTTCTCCTTGGTTATTCTGGTAAATTTTCTTTAGAGATTTAATAGCTTCTAAAGTTACATACTTCAATGCAATGTCTGATAGAAAGTTAAATGTTTATTCTTTGGAACCTTCATTATCAATTATACCCTTCATCTGTGATATCTGGGATTCATTTGATGTTCTACTTATCTGATGATGACCTTGCCTATCTGCTTTCCATTTGTTTATATATACCTGTTATGCCTTCATCCATCATTTTATTCTTAATTTTTTGGGTAATTTGATATTATATATATATATATATATATATATATATATATGAGTTACATTAAGTTTTTTTTAAAAAAGACATGTACATACTAAACATTCTTTTATGCCATTAATAATCCAGCCATATATTAAAAGAATTATACACCTATTCAAAGTGGGATTTATTTCAGTGAATCGAGGCTGGTTCAGTATTCAAAAAATCAATGTAATCCACCAAGGTAAAGAGGAAAAAGCACATGATCTTATTCTATAAATGCAGAAAAAGCATTTGATAAAATTTAACATCCCTTCATGATAAAAACCTTCAAAAACAGGAAAAGAGAACATCTTCCACTTAATAAAGCGCATCTATCTACAAAACAAACTACAATTAACAGAATGCTTTCCCCTAAGATAGGCAACAAAGAAAGTTGATGTCTATCTCATCACTCTTATCCAGCATAGTGGTAGCCAATGCTAGAAGTTTTAGCCAGTACAAAAAAACAAGAAAAAGAAATAAAACAGATACAGATGAGAAAGAAAGAAAACTGTTCTTATATGCAGAAAACATGACTGGCTATATAGGGAAAAACAAGTCCTACAGTTACTAAGTGAATACAGCAAAATTGTGAGATACAAGATAAGCATAAAAAAGTTAATTCACTAAAAATGAATCTGTGGACACTACAATTAAAACTAAAATTGCATTTACAATTGCTTAAAAAAAAAGAAATACTTAAATCTAACAAAGCACTAACAGGATTTGTATGCTGAAAACTACAACTACAACTGAGGAAAATATTCAAAGATGGTTTAAATAAATGGAGAATCATTCTACGTTCATGGACGGGTAGACTCAACGTAGTGTACATGTCAGTTCTCCCCAAACTGATACTTAGATTTAATGCAATTCCTATCAAAACCAAGAAGGCTATTTTTGCTTTTTTTTTTTTTTTTTTTTAAAGATTTTATTTATTTATTCATGAGAGACACAGAGTGAGGCAGAGACAGGGGAAGCAGGCTCCATGCAAGGAGCCCAATATGGGACTCGATACCAGGACCCCAGGATCACGCCCTGAGCCAAAGGCAGACGCTCAACCACTGAGTCACCTGGGTGTCCCAAGAAGGCTATTTTTTTAAAGATAAGATTATTCTAAAATATATATAGAAAGGCTAAAGCAAATATGAAGAATTATTATATAGCTACAGTAATCTATGTTGTATTGGTGAAGGAATAAATACATAGATCAATGGAACAAAACAGAGATCCCAGGAACAGACCCACACCCATACAAATATACTCAACTGTGTTTTAGTAAGTTGTAAAAGCAATTTGATGTAGGATAGAAAATCTTTCCAACAAATGATATGGTACAACTGAACATCTAAAAGCAAAAATCTTGACCTCAGTTTCTTTTTATACCCTATGTAAAATATTAACTGAAAATGGGTCACAGATATAAAAGTAAAAAAATTTTAGAAAAAAAAAATTCTTCAGGATCTAGGCAAAAACTTCCTAGAATAGATGTCAAATTACGATCTATAAAAATTGAAATTGGTAAGTTGGACCTCATAGAAACTGACAACACTTGCTTGAGAGAAACCCTGTTAAGAAGACAAAAAGATGAGCTACAGACAGATTAAGAGAAAATATCTGTAAACCTACACATCTGACAAAGGACTAGCATCTAGAATACATAAAGAACTATCAAAACTCTACAATAAATGTACAAACAACCAAATTAGAAAATTGGCAAGTCATCTTGAGATCAAGTTTTTTTATATTCTTTAACACTGTATCCTGTGGTTTTCTGACTATTCTATACACTAATGAGAAGGAATACTGCAATCTTCAACTATAATTATGGATTTGTCTTTTTCTCCTTTCAGTTTTACCTCATGCATTTTGAATCTTTGTTTAGATTCATCCACCTTTAGGGCTGTTATATTCTCTACATGAATTTACCTTATTAACATGTTGATTTCACCCTAACTTGCTTTTGATTAGTGTTTAGTATATCTCTCTCCATCCTTTTGTTTTTAAACTATATGTCTTCATACTTAAATTGTGTTTCTTATAGATAACACAACTGAATCACACTTTTTATGCAGTTTGTGAACTGCTGCCCAAGTCTAGCTTTTTTATCCAGCCTGAAATTTTTTAATTGTAATGTTTATGTTATTTACACATAATGTAATTACCAATATGGCTGGGTTTAGATCTATCATTTTTCTACTGCTTCATCTGAAAATGATATTCTTCTCTATGTTAGTAATCCTTTCCATATCCAAAACTTACTTTTAGTTTCATCTTATGCATTTCAGCTTGTTCTTCCTGGTATAATTCTTGTCGCACTTGTTCCAAATCTTCACGTTGCCGCAGCATTTCTTCCAATTTCTGAGTCAGCTAATAAATTTTTACAGAAACACACAAACATTAATGGGAAGCAAATTCTATTAATAAGTATTTCAGAATTTCTCCAATGTTAAAGAAGTAATTATTTTAATACCATATTCTGAAGCTGTAGCCTTTTTTCCTCATTTTCTTGAACTTTTGCCATCCGATCTTCTTCTCTTTGTTGCTGCATATTGGCAAATTCTATGATTTTTCTGTTTTCTTCTTCCATCTCCTCACGCTTCTTCTTTCTCCACAGAGCCTGCTCTTTCTGAAATTCTTCTATATACCTTCGAGTTACATTCATTTTTTCTAACTTTTGTTGTCTTTCCCTAAAAAGTAATAATAGTGCAGTTTTAAAGTAACAAATAATATTGAAAAATGTGTCATTTCCTTCAATTGACAATAATATGGGAAAACCAGCTTTTCTTATTTATTTGAGAGAGAGAAAGAGAATGAGAGAAAGAGAATGAGAGAGTACAAGCAGGGGGAGGGAGAGAGGGAGGAGAATCTCAAGCAGACTCCCCACTGAGCACGGAATCTGACATGGGGCTTGATCTCATAACCCTTAGGTCATGACCTGAGTGGCAATCGCACTTCACAGCTTTTCTACTTATAGTTTATTCATTCATTCATATCACAAACATTTTGAGTATACACTATGTGCCACTAAACATGACAGGTATGAATCTTGTAAGTAAAATACTACTTCTAACTTTTCTCTAACCTATTAGTGAAGTTTTATGCATCTCGCTTTAGAAAGGCCAACAACCTGTTTACATTACACTCAGCTGTCTAGCAAAGAAATGATCAGAAGTCCTCTGACATGATACGAGCATATTTAAGAAAAACAAAGGTTTAATCATTCTGTTACTTAGTAAGCATTTGTTATAATTATCATGCTTACGAAGATAAACAGGAGTTGATCTCAGTTCATGTGATTGTAACATTTACTGAGGACTTACTATGTACTAGGCACTGTTTAGTTGCTTTACATCTTCACAACAAGCCTAAGATAAATCAAATCTCAATGTTTAGGCATATAAAGAAGCTGGGATAAACTTACAATTGATCTTCTTCATAGATTTTCCTAACAATTTCATCAATCATGAGTTTCTCTTTTAATAACTGCTCATATGCTTCCTGCTTTTTCTTCTCTTGTTCTTCAAGTTGTTTCTCTAAGTCCAGATAATACTGTGCTTTTACTTTATTTCGTTTGTCCTCCGCAGCACTCTCTTCCTTTATTACTCTCTCGTGTTCCTCCATCATGGTTTTGGCTATTTCAGCATCACGTTTCTGTTATTAGGATAAAATTCATCTTTCCATTTTCAAATATTCAAAAGAATATCATTTTCAGATGAAGCAGTAGAAAAATGATAGATCTAAACCCAGCGATATTGGTAATTACATTTGAAATGAGCACAGTATCATAGAATCTTTCAAAACAGACAAAATGGAATATTATAAAGCCTATTGCATAAAATATTTTCATCCGTCAAGGTTAAAAGCTAAGGAAAGTTACTGTCACCTGAAGGGTTTAAATGATGAGTCAAACCCTAAAGAGGCCTTCCCATTCCTTCAAGTAGGTCTGAAGGAAATACAGGATAACTGATAACTCCACATTTGAAAAACAGCAAATAAAATTAGAAGGACTTTATTAACACTGTGCTTAAAAAGCAATGGTTATCTTTTTCTCTTATTTAAAAGTTGATAGAGGCAATTTTTAGCTCCATTGTGTATCAGCTACCATTTACATCAAGGATGGTACTCTTTTTGAGACAGGTCTACTATTAAACAGCTCTGAACCACTCTTAATGTTTCTCCCAGTCTAAACTTTCTTGCCATTGGCCTTTGAAGTCTCTCATTTCTCATTTATTAAATGTCCTTTATAATCTTTAAAGAGTCATATATACCACTGCGCCTGTTTTTTGTAGCTTTTAATTCATTCATTCAAGACCATTCCCTCTGAGTTAGAGAAATCTTGCTTCTTAATTAGGTTAAACCTCTTATTTGTTTTGAGCATTTTGAAATCACTTAACAAAACAATTTGTCAATTATATATATTGAGGCCATTTTTATTACTCTTTGCCATTATGATGGCACAATCTAAATGCTAGAATGGTTAATGGCGTCAAATAGGCAAGAAGAAACAGATTAAAATATGAATGCTGAGTGCCATTCCTGATCTAATTGATGCCTTTACCATATACACTATTAATATAGCTTGACCAACTCTTTCTCTGCTTCTATTTTCTTACCACATGCTGTATTAGGTTCTTTAAAAAAATGTGAAATGACAAAAATATTTATGTTTTTCACATTGCCATACACTTATAGAAATACAACATTCTCATTTCACAGATAAGGCTAAAGCTCAGAGAGACAGAGCCCAAACTAGTACCTAGATATCTCAACACCTAGTGAAGTCCCAGGACTATTTAAGTTTAATTTTTGTGGACCAATTTTATTTAGAAAATAGCAGCAATTCTTTCAGGAGTCAGATTAAAATGTACAACTGCTTTGAGAAACCTCAATTATCAGGATAAAACTATAAGCTACTAGTCAAAAAGTATACTGTTTATGTTCTACTTTATCTCTGCAAAGGTAGAAAAGAACTACATGGCTCAGGAAACCAAATCTCCTGTGCTCTCCTGTAACCTGCCACACCAAAGGTGATCTCGGTCACCAGCATGCTGTGTGACCCTCATACTAATAACACACATGCACAGACACATCACTATGGCCAGCATCTCAGCATCTCGTCATATTAGATGCCCATATTGCACTGCACTGGTTAAGTATTTTGATATTACTCCTCTAATTGTGTGTGTGTGTGAACATATGTGTGTGTGTTGATATATACACATAGGTTGATATACAGGTACAAGTTTTAAAAAATAAAAATGGTTTGTGATATGTATTACTCTCCAACTTGATTTGTTTGCAGCTTGCTTTTTTATTTTTAACATATAATATATTCAGGCCAACTTTAAAAGTCAGAATATTTACCTGGGCCTCCTCTCTTTAATAGCTGTACAACATCTTTGAAAGGGATCTAGGAGAGAGGAAATGCTACCACCAAAATGTTCTACATAATAATAGAGAACTATGAGAAGAGAACTTACAAGACCATGTAATATTGCAATCAGACCTTTTCATCTACATCTAGCCTTTCTGTGGGACCATGAAAGCTCAAGTGATGGTGTCACCCTGCTTCTAAGTGTTAACCCAATAAACCCTATTCTACATTTACCATAAAACACCACTGGTCAGTGTGTCTGAAACTCCTTTGTTCAAGAGTAATTCTTGCCCTGAACTTGGCAGTATGTTAGAAGTTAGAAAAGGGTATAAAAATAGAGAGAAATAGAAGAAGAGATAGCTACTTATAAAACAGGAAAGTTTCCCACCTAAAATTATAAAACACTTTAATTTTTAAAACATTTACAAGTACAAAATGTTATTACATTGGTTTGTCAAAGAATAATCAGAGAACACAAGAAATGCTCAGACCTACTGAGTATAGCTATTCATTCTAAACAGCAACCTCATTCTTTGTGTCTCTGAAAGACTCTAACATGAAATTAGACAAGGCTCACTATTAAATAATATAGGAGTTCCTGTACCTTAAGTATCTGAGAAGTATAAAAGTATTTAAGAAAACTAGCAGTGTAAATTCTTTATAGTATGCAACAATTTTGAAAAAATTGGTCTATTTTTGGTTTTCTAAATGAAGGTAAAAATATAGAAAACATAATGACAGAAACATGATTACCATTTGCTCGTATTTAATGGCATCCTTCTCTGCAATCTGAGCTGCCCTTTCTTTATTCATATAAGCTGCTTTTAATTTCTTCTCCAATTCTCTGAGCTCAATACTGTTTAAAAAAAAAGAGACAGAAATTTAAAATTGAGGACCATATTTCTTTTACTATTTTATTTATTTATTTATTTAAAGATTTTATTTAGTAGAGACACAGAGAGAGAAAGAGAGAGGCAGAGACACAGGCAGAGGGAGAAGCAGGCTCCATGCAGGGCCTGACGTGGGACTTGATCCTGGGTCTCCAGGATCACGCCCTGGCCTGAAGGCGGCGCTAAACTGCTGAGCCACCGGGGCTGCCCCCTCTTTTACTATTTTAAAAGTCTGTATTTAAAATAAAAAACTTCTAAATGTGTAAAAGATATTTATATTATTAAATACCTTGAAAACAATATCCTTTCCTCCCTTCACCCAAAGAAAAATCAGAATGCATATGAAATGAGACATTATAATTAATTTTCCAGACAAAACAACTCTTTTATTTTCAATAATCATCACTATAAAATCTTTTTTGCCACTGTGTGACTGAGAGAAGATGGTTTATCAATACTAGTTAAAATTTCCGTCCAGCTACTACTAATGCTATCGAGCTAAAAAGAACGATAGTGGAACGGTTTAGGGCAAATTACTTAAATTTTGTACCTCAGTTTTGTTATCTGTAGAAGGGGTAGCTATGGGAATTAGTTGATGTATTTAAAAAGCTTAGAAAAGTACCTGTTACACAGTAAACACTCTATAAATGGTAACTATTTTTTGATGATGATGATGGAGTGTAACTCCAGTAACTATAAAAAAAAATAAGTTATCCTTCATAGGTAACTGGGCTTGTTTACTGATCTGTTAAAAATGAAGACTGCCCCAGAAAATCTCTGAGCTACTTTTGAATCTACCCTTTCCCTAACTATAGTGGAAAACAATACGCTATACACAACTTTTCATTTTAATGTGCCAGACATAATTCTGAATATAAGAATTCTGAGCTGGAAGGGTCTTTAGATGTTACTTAGATGCACATCTTAATTCATTAAAAAAAAAGATTCAGGGGATCCCTGGGTGGCTCAGTGGTTTAGCGCCTGCCTTTGGCCCAGGGCGCGATCCTGGAGTCCCGGGATCGAGTCCTACATCAGGCTCCCGGCATGGAGCCTGCTTCTCCCTCCTCCTGTGTCTCTGCCTCTCTCTCTCTCTCTGTGTGTGTCTCTGTCTATCATAAATAAATAAATAAATCTTAAAAAAAAAAGGTTCATTTATTTTAGAGAGGTGGGGAGAGCAGAGGGAGAGGAAGAGAGAATCTGAAGCTGACTCTGCTGAGCCTGAGCCTGAGGCAGGGCTCTATCTCATGATCCTGAGATCGTGGCCTGAGCTGAAACCAAGAGTTGGAAGCTTAATGGACTGTGCCACCCAGGTGCCCCCAACACACCTTAATTCTTACTAGAACACAGGCACACACCCAACAACTTACAAGTACCCTATACCTTCAAAGAGACAGTCATCATGACTAAGGGAAGAGAGAGGTATTGGTGTTGTGATGTGTTCTTCTTGCCCTTACTATTGTAGGTGTCAGTATGTATGACACAATACTGCTTTCTTTCGGAGCACCTGGGTAGCTCATTGGTTGAGCATCTGCCTTCAGCTCAGGTTGTGATCCCAAGGTCCTGGGATTGAGTCCCACATCAGGCTCTCTGCAGGGAAGCCTGCTTCTCCCCCTGCCTATGTCTCTGCCTCTCTCTGTGTGTCTCTCATGAATAAATGAAATCCTTTAAAAAATTGCTTTCTTTCATAAAAATAATAATATAAATGAGGATTAAGTTTCCAGGTTACTCTACATATTTAACTCTAAGAGGGCCCCTGTATATTTACAAGGGTTTTTGTTGGAGTTAGGTATTAATATTTGTAAACCAATGTATGAACCCAATCACAATTTATATTACCTCTCCAAAACAAAGTGCATCAAATTTAAAAAACTAACATGCAAATAAATGACCTTCACTTGAAGAACAAATACACACACATTTCTGTTGGATATATACCTGGGGAGTGAAATTTCTGAGTCACAGGGTAAGGCTGTGTTCAAATGTAGTAGAAAATGCCAGCTTTCCAATGCTTTGTACAGATTTACACTCATAGTGCTTAAGCACTATGCTATACATCCCAGCCACACTTTCCAGTCTCATCATTCTTTTTTGTTTCATCACTCTTGTGAGTGTGTAATATATCATTGGGGTTTTAATTTGTTTCCCTATTATTAAAATGAAACAGACCTTTTCACGTTTGAGCCATTTCTGTATCTTCTGTGAAGTTTTTGTTCAATTTTTGCCCTATTTTAGACTAAATTGTCTACTTCTTATTGTCGCATAAAAGTTCTTTATATATTCTTAACACAAGTCTCTTGTTGCTTATATAAATTGCAAATATTTCATTCCATTCTATACTTACTCTCACAGTGGTTTCTTTAGATGAAGAGAAGTATTCTAATTCATCAATCTTTTTCTTCATTGTCAATGACTTCTGTGTCATGTTTTAAGAAATGTTGCCTACTGCACAGACATAAAGGTATTTTCTTTTATTAGTCTCTCAAAACTTTGTTTTGCCACTGACTTTTAGACTATAATCATTCAAGAATTGATATCTGTGTGTACTGTGAGGTAAAAATCAAGTTCATTTTTGTATATATGGCTATTGAATTGATCCAGTACTATTTTATAAAAATGTCCATTTCTGAATGCTGTGCAGTACCAGGGCAGTGACAATGTTCTGCAGTGTCACAAGGTTTAAGTGTACATCTATGCATAGATCTGTTTTTGAATGTATTCCACCCTTCCTCAACTGGGGTCCCATAAGGGAATTAAATCCTGCAGAAGACTGAGTAGCTACATTTTAATTTTCTCATAGATGGTATATAGTTGGTATTGTTTTAGATCCACAGGAGGTTAATTAATTCGTTACAGATAAAGGATACCTTGGACCATTAGGGTTTAAATTTTCTGGTTGAGAAGATCTGCTCCATTCTATCCCATCGATCCATTTGTTATGCTGTGCTAAAACCACACTATCTAAATTATTGTAGCTTTATAATAATTTTTCATATCCTAGAGAATAAATCACCAATTTTGGGCTTCTTAAAGATCATCTTAGCCATTCTTGGTACTTTGCATTTCCATATACATTTTAGAATCAGCTTGTCAAATGTCACAATAAACAATACTGGCAGAGATTCTGATTAGGATTATACTGAAAATAATTGTTATAATAATTATTATTATTATACTGAGAATATTGATTATTCTCAACTTGGAGAATATTGGTACATTTACAATACTGGGTCTTCAATAAACATGGTATATCCTTCCAATTAGGTTTTTAAAAACTCTATTGGTAATGGTTTATTTTTGTTTTCTTTCAGTGTTGAGGTTTTATATCTATTTCATTAGGTATTTATTTTTTATGCTCTTTTTAAAAAAATTTTATGCTCTTATACAAATAATTTTTAAAATTTCATTCTCTAATTGTTGCTAATTCACAGAAAACACCTAATATTGTATATTGACTTCACATCCAACAACACTGCTGAACTTATAATTCATACATAGATTCTTTTTTATTTTCTACATACACAATCATATCATCTGGGAATAATGAAAGTTTTATTTCTATACTGCCAATCCTAACACCTTTCATTTACTTTTCTTGACTTATTGCACTGGCTAGTATGTCCAATACAATGGTTAATAGAAGGTATTATAGCAAGCATCCCTGTCTTTCTAGTAGAGGTAAAGTGTTTAATGTTTGCCATTAAGTATGATGTTACTATAAAGTCCATTTTATTCCTAATTTGCTAATCCTTTAATCTTAGAGTAATGCTGATTTAAATCAATTGGCTTTTTCTGCTCATACAGTTTTTCTATTATATTTTATTAATGGAATGAATTACACTTATTGATTTTCTAGCTAAGTCACTTTGTATTCCTAGAATAAGTTAAAATAGTCAGATATATCTTTCTCACATGCCACTGGATTTGATATTAATTTCAGATTACAGTAGCTAAATTCGAGAGAAAAACTCATCTATTTTTTTTTTTAATCCTATTGAGGTACTGATCGGGAAGTGTTCCCTCTTGTCTCACTCTGCAAAACTATACGAGACTGGTGCTATTATTTGAATGTTTGGTAAAATTCACCAAACCTAGCCAAACCTAGAAACTTTGTTTCTTTGTGAACAAAGTTAATTACAGATATCTTTGAAAGTTATAGAAACACTTAGATTTCTGTTTCTACTTGTGCCCATCAGTTTGGTAAATTTTTTATGAATTTATCTAAATATTCAAATTTATTTCTATCAAATTGTTCACAATATCTAGCAAATATTTGTATGATCTATAGTGATATGCTATCATCCATCCCTAAAATTGGTTATTTGTGCATTCTTTTACATTTATCAATTTTATCAATTTTATTAGCCTCTTTAAAGGCACGATTTTATAGAAAAAAATAAAAATAAAAAATAAAGGCACAATTTTTGGCTTTGATTCTACTTTATGCTTATATTCTAATGTATTTGTTTCTGCTCTTATTGTTCTTCTACATCCTCTTTATAATCATTCCAGATTGAAATTTGCTGATCATTTTCTAATAATTCCAGCTGGAACCTTCATTTCTAATAGTAATTCTGATTATTAATTACTCTTGAATAAAAGCTCTAGCTAAACCCCATTTTTGGGGTTTTTTAATTCTATAACTTTTTTATTGCGGTAAAATACAATAAAACAAAAATTTGCCATTTTTAACTATCTTAAGTGCACAGTTTTGTGGTGTTGATTACATTCACAATGTTCTACAACCATCTACCATTATTTCCAAAAATTTTGCATCACTCTAAACAGAAACAGTGTACTTGTTTAAGCTTGTTTAACTCCCCATCCCTCCCTTTCCCTAGCCCCTGGTAACCTCTAACTACTTTTTGTCTCTATAAATTTACCTGTACTAGTTATTTCACATAAGTGGAATTATACAGTATTGATCCTTTTACGTCTGGCTTATTTTACTTAATATATTCCTCTCAAGGTTCAGCCATATTGTAGCATGTATCAGAACTACATTCCTTTTCATAACTGAATGTTATTCTACTGCATATATAAACCAGAGTTTATCTGCTCATCTGTTGATGGACATTGGATTGTTTCCACTTTCTGGCTATTGTGAATAATGAATAATGCTGCATTAAACATTAGTGTACAAATATCTGATTAAGGTTCAGTTTTCAATCTTTGTGGGTATCTATTTAGGGGTGGAATTACTAGTTTTGACACTGATGAAAAGCAGCATATTCTATTTGAAAACGTACCCAACTAGGGCAGGCCTGGTGGCTCAGCGGTTTACTGCCGCCTTCAGCCCAGGATGTGATCCGGGAGACCGGGGATCGAGTCCCACATCAGGATCCCTGCATGGAGCCTGCTTCTCTCTCTGCCTCTCTCTCTCTCATGAATAAATAAGTAAGTAAAATCTTTAAAAAAAAAAAAAAGAAAGAAAGAAAAGAAAAGAAAAAAGAAAACGTACCCAACTGAATGACTTTTGCCTTAAGTTTGAAGAACATTTTCACAAAGTATAGAATTCTAGATGGCCCATTATTTTCTTTCAGCCCTTTAAATCCACAGTCTTTTAATTTTCACTATTGGCTTTCAAAATCTAGTCATACTTCTTATTGCTGCTCTTTGAAGGTAAGTCTTTTGTGGAGCTGCTTTTGTGATTTTCATGGTTTTCTTTATTGCTGGATTTCAAAACTTTGACTAGGATAAGTATAGGTATAGTTTTCATCATGTGTTGTGTTTTAACCTGTGGCTTTACATTTTTTACCATTTTTGGAAATTCTTGGCAGTTACCTCTTCAAATACTGCTTCTGCATCATCCTCTTTTATTTCTATTACCAGAACTAAAGTTATACATCTGTTTGAACCTTTCATCATGGCCCTTATCTCTTATAAGTTTTCTTTCTTATTTTTCTACCCTTTTGTCTCTCTGTGCTGTATTCTGGATATATTCCACATTATTTCTTCATCTGTTTCTATCTAATAAAATCAAATTGAACTGTGTATTAGTGAAGTAAAGCAGACACTAAAATACCCAAATCTTGAGCATAAGACTTGTAAAATGATGTTGAACACCTTGCGATTCACTTATTGGCTAAGCTCTGCTTCAGTTCTTAACTCTCAGCCATACTTCTAGAATCAGCAGAACCTCCAGGAGAAATGTAGCTACAAATGCCAACTCACCATTCTGGTTTCCTTCCTCTTCCAGATCTCACTTTTATAGTTTTTCCAGATACTCTGTTCTCAGAGACAGCATTTATTTGAATCACCTTGTCTATTTAATTTTTAGATCAGTGAATTAGACAAATACATGATGAAATATTTATTTCATCTTCAGATAACATAAACCCATGAGGGATAGCTAACAATGATCAGAGAATTAATATTCAAAAAGACAGTTTGCAACTAGAACAATATGAAGACATTAGTGGCAATTTTAAATCTTTAGGCATTAGTAATCTCTTAAAGAATTTGGTAAAAGTTGTAGACACAGAAAAATACAATGGGTACATTTGTCAAACATAATTTAATGAAGCTCAAAATCCCTGAAGCTAACCCAGGGGTCATATAATATCCTACAGAAGTCTGGCTCAGTTAAGATAATATGTATCAACTATCAAAGTAAATTGCTACTATATTCAACTATATAACTATAGGATGGGCATTTAGTGAGCCCTAAGTTTTAATCAACAGTGTGACATGGCTGTTCCTAAAAAGCAAATCCATCTTCGGTAACATGAAGAAACATATTTTAGAACAATGTGGTTAACAATGTGGTTAACAGTCCCACTACTAGGGATAATAAGCAGTACCCTGGAGCATTATACATAATTATGAAGTCAATATTTTATTAAGGAATAATTATGTAAATTACATCTACAGAAGAAAACCAGGATGGTGAAGAAGCTTGAAACCTTATTATATAGGCAACAAATGAAGGATATGTAACTTATAGAAGAAAACATCTAGGGGATTCAGAAATATGAACAGATATCCTAAATAAGAACTAAATATGTTTTTCATCAGATAGCAGAAGTGAGATAAATGCATGAAAGTCATAGGGAAATTAATTTTGAAACAATAGGGAAAAAAAGATTATTCAAAGTTAGGACTGAATGAAAAAAGAAGTTCCTATCCCAATCACTAGAGAGCTAGAGCTATAGCTGACCAGCCACTTTCCAGAAATGCTGTAAGAAATTTATGTCCAGGTAGAAAATTTAATTATGTATTTCCTAAGGTCTCACTTCAGAGTAGGATTCATGAGTCTATTTCTTCTAAAGATTTTACTTATTTACTTATTTGAGAGAAAGCACACAAGTGTGGAGTAGGGGAACAGAGGGATAAACAGACTCCCCGATGAGCAGGGAGCCCAACACAGGGCTCAATCCCAGGACTCAGATCATGACCTGAGCCAAAGTCACTTAAGACAACTGAGCCACACAGGTGCCCCTCATGAGTCTATTTTTTTTTTTTTTAGGTCATTTAAAAAAAACTATGTTTAGAGGAAAGAGAAAAAATTGCTATTTATTTTCACCTTAAACACTTTACTTCTTTGAATATAACTTCTTTTCTCAAATGAATAAATATAGCATTTAAAGCAATAAATGTTTCCAGACAAAATATTAACTCAGTGCAATGATAGAAAGAAGTATATTTCACTCTTAGGTGCTAAGCATTACATAAAAGCAAAGACAAAGTAAATGAAACTTATAAAAACCAAGATACCTGTTTTCTCTTACTTGTTGCCTCATCTTTTCATCCTTTAGACTTTCATGTTTTAGTTTTGCCAATTCCATAGCCAATTTTTCTTCTTGTTCAAGCTGGAGTTCCCTCAATCTTTTGTTTTCTTCTGCCTGAATTTTTTTTAAGAAGTAACTTTAGTTATTTGTCCTCTAGAATCAGATTTTTCTTTCATCAAGGCTTGAGAGCAACAAACACTTGTGTTTTATTTTTAAATACAAAATACTATATCAATAAGTACTTTCCTGATATATTACCATGGAAAATTTCAAGCATCATCAATAGTAAGAAGAAGATTAAAGTATACCCTCAGGCAGTCATCACTTTCAAGAACTATCAATATTTTACCAATCTTCTTTCTCTATTCTTCCACTCCAATTTCATTTTTTTCTTAGTTCTTTTTTTGCTAGACTATTTTAAAATATATCCTAGATATGTCATTACTATATAAATAATTCAGTATTAATCCCTAACTGATAAGAATTTCATCTTATGTAACAACCATGCCATTAGCATGTCTAAATAAGAGTAATTCCTTAGTAAGGAATAATACCTTGTCCATTCTCAGGTTTTCCCAATTGTCTCAAAGATACTTTTTGTTTGCTTTTTCAATCAAAATCCAAATAAGGTCCACATGTTGCATTTAGTTATTATTTCTCTTAAGTCTCTTTCATTCTGTAACAGTTATCCAATATATATACTTTTCCCCAAGCCACTAATTTGTTGTAGAAATTAGAATATGTAGCCCACAGAATCTCCCACATTCTGAATTTGACTGTTTCCCCAGGATAGCATTCAACTTGTTTCTCTTTTGTATCTGCTATAAAATGGTAGAAAGATCTAGAGGCTTGACTAACTTCTGTATTTGGAAGGAATAAGCACATGAGAAGATGTTCAATAACATTAGCCATAAGGAAATGCAAATTAAAATTACAATGATCACTACAAACCTATTAGGATGGCTAAAATAAAAAATAGTGGCAAAAGCAAATGTTGGTGAGAAACTTGCATTACTCCCATATTGCCAGGTGGGAATGTAAAATGGCAGAGCCACTCTGGAAAACAGTTCAGTAGCTTGTTATAAAGCTAACATGTAATTACTATATGACTCAATTACAGCCCTCTTAATGCATTTAGCCCAGAGAAATGAAAACTTATGTTTATTTAAAAACCTATACCCAAATGTTTACAGCAGATTTATTCAAGATAGCCAATACTGGAAATAAACAGACATACTTCAATGGGTGAATAGGCAGATAAACTGTGGTACATCCATACCATGGAATACTACTCAGTGGCTAAAGGGAATGAAGTACTGACACTAGCAACAACCTGGATTACTTTCTAGGAATTGAGCTGAGTGAAACAATCCAATCCCAGAAGATTACATACTGTTTGATCCCATGTATATAATGGTCTTGGAACACGTTATTTATTTTAAAATTGAGCTTTAATTCACATAGCATAAAATTCAACCTTCACAATTCACAACTCAGTGGTTTTTAGTACATTCACAGTGTTGTGCAACAACCATCACCATCTAGTTTCAAGACTTTTTATTTTAACAGATATTTTTTACAGCAGTTTTGGGTTCACAGCAAAACTGAGCAGAAATAATAGAGTTCCCACTGCCCACACACATGCACTGCTCTACCTCACTATCAATATCCCCCACCAAGTGGTATATTTGTTACAATCGATTAACCTTCCATTCAGCCTGAATTTAGGTGAATAAGATTCCTCCCCTTGGAACTCTGACAGGTCTTGGCACACCCTCAGCAACAGAAACATATATAGAATAAATCAGACTGTTTAGACAATCACAAAGGTTCAAGAGACGACCAAGAACTAATCAATGGTGAATGAGAAGTTTCATCACCTCTCCAAGGCCACTTCTTCTAGACTGAAAGGAGTAGCTGTTTTGCCTAATTCAGGGCAACAGCCAAACAACATGAAGAAACAGAGAACTATGTTCCAGATGAGAGAATAAGACAGAATATCATAAGAATACCTTAATGATACAGAGATAAATAATCTACCGAATAAAGAATTCAAAGTAATAGACATAACAACCAAATACACTGTATGAACCTTGTGTGGATCCCAAGAAAACAAACCAACTGTAAAAGCAGATTTTGACACAATCATAACAACTTGACTATGGAATGGCATTAAATGATACCTAGAATTTATTGTTAATTCTATTAGGTGAGATAGTGGCATTATTCTACTACTATGTAAGAAAATATCTATATTTTATAAGATGCATACTGAAGTATACTGGAAAGAGGTGACATGACATCTGGGACTTTAAAGAAAAAATAATAAAAAGCATAGTAAAAAATATCTGATCTCTAGGATCTTATTGTTCAGAGCTGAAAAATTATGTCTAAGCCTTATGAATTTGGAATTCAAAGGGACGGATACCACTTTTAAAAGTTGCTTTTGCCATTCCAATATCCTACAAAATGTTTAACATACAGCAGGAACTCAAAAAGTACTTAAATATCAGAACACTTTTTTCATATTTTGGTCTCCCTTTTATACCACCCTCATCCTTTAAAATATTTAGAAGTTTCCACAGAAAAATTATCTCCATATTTTAAGTTATATACATACTGTACATGAATTCAAGGCAGTATTTCAAGATCAAAAATGAGTACCTAATTCATATCCAATATATACGTGTTCATTTTCTACTATTGAATGAATATTTTTAATCTTAGTAAATTCAGAAAAGCTACTCTTAAATTTTTTCTTTCATATTTTATGGAAAGCAACCAAATTTTACTTATATGAACAAAACTGTGGAAGTTAGTAATTATGGATTTCGTATTTATGAAAAACAAAACCAAACCCTGAGTCTTACTCTGTTACAGGCACCATTCCAAGTGCTTTGCATGTATTAACTCCTTATTAAAACAATCCTACAAAATGAATACTATTATAATTTTCATTTTAGAGATGAAGCAGAAAAGTAAAATCAATTTACCGAGGGTTCCAGAGCTTGCTTAGGTACAGCGATACTAGGATTTAAAGTCATAAAAGTCTAACTCCAAAAACCCAGCTCTTTACCACTACACTGGGCTGACCTACAATGAGGCATCCTTTACTTTTGCTGCTATTATCTATCTACTCAATTCCAGTATCAGCAGTTGGTTTTTATCACTTCCGAGGAGAAAATGAAGAAAAAAATGTCAAAATGAATAAGACAATGTACCTTTTGAATGGCTTCTTCCATATCCAACTCAAATTGTTCGTTCTGTAATAATCTGAGGAATCTCTTGCGCTCCACGCGGTCATCATTTTCATGATGCACCACCCGGTCCTTGATAGTATTCTCTATCTTTCTTAGTGATTGGACATGCAATTGTTTGCCGTAATTTACATCTACTAATTTCTGATGCCTTTCACTGAAGCTCAAGGCTCGCCTTCTAGAAGCCTATAATGGGAGAAAGAAAAAAAAAAAGCACACATAGTTTGGTATTCCAAAATCTGATTTTTAAAAGTATACCGCTGTAGGGATGGCTGGGTGGCTCAGTGGGTGAACCTGTGCGTTTGACTCAGTCCGTGATCCTGGGGTCTTGGGATTCAGTCCCGTACATCAGGCTCTCTGTGTCTCTCGTGAACATATAAAATCTTAAAAAAAAAAAAAAAAAAAAAAAGTATACCTTGTAAGCTCCAGGTACAAAAATAGGAAACAGTAATAAATAAAGGGCGTTTGGCTTCCTTCCTAAATTCAGAGAAATGTAACATAAAAAAATGTACGCATGGTAGATAAATATATTGATATATCTATAAAGTTCTCTTATTACTCCCCATCTTCTAGATGAGACGTGAAAAGTAAAAGCAACTTTACCCAAGGTTCCTCGAAAACTTAAATAGCATACTGGGATTCAAAGACCCGCAGTCAGCTCTACAGACCTAGCTCTCAACCGCAGCACAGAGAAGGCCTCCTCTCCTCATTCCCCCCAGCGCCTCCCTTACCCTTGGCCAGAAAGTGCCGCTCAGAAGCTGGTCAGGTTTTCCTAATACAGATTTAATAAGTCAACCGATGCTACTTTTTTTTTAGATTTTATTTATTTATTCATGAGAGACACAGAGAGAGAGGCAGAGACACAGGCTGAGGGAGAAGCAGGCCCCATGCAGGGAGCCCGACGCGGGACCGCATCCCTTGACCCCAGGGTCAGGCCCTGGGCCGAAGGCGGCGCTAACCCGCTGGGCCACCCGGGCCGCCCTAACCGCTGCCACTTAATTCATTTGTTCTCTCCCAAACTTTTTTTTCCCCACTATTTCGTTCAACGTTCTTGATCTTTTCCCAAATTTCCAGAAATATGGAAAGCAAGATTTTCACCGGGCAGATGTAATAGAGTCTGAGGAACATTTGAAAAAGGTCGGAAGCCACCGCTAGCGTCGCTGAAACAATAGCCCACGAGGCCTCTGAAAGCAAACTGAACGAATTTCCCACTTGTTGCTCAGAATAGGCACCTCCGAATCCCTTTTTTAGATGCAGACTGGCTCCAAATACTACAATTAAATCAATAGACAAACAAGCGGCTCACCATCTTGGCAGATAAAGTCCCCCTCTCGGGCTCCGGCGGCCACCACCTCCCGCGGCCAGAGCAGGGGCCGGCTGGGAGCGCCGCTGTTTACGCCGTTTCCTGGCAACTGCCCCCGCCCCCAGCGGGGCCCGGCCCACCGGCGCAGGCGCGGCCTCTCATTGGACGCAGCAGGAGCCAATCGGCACTGAGCTTTTTGGGGGGCAGGCGGGGACGCTGCGGCTCCAGGTCTAAGAGACGCGCGGGAAGTTCGGATCCCGCGTGCTGCCGCGAGCTCTTTGCAGTTTAGTGGGGCGCTGGGTCTCTCACGAATAAAATTTTTTAAAAAAGAGTATCCTGTGCCCTCAATACACGGTCCATGTGAGTTGATGACTAGCTTCATCTTGAGCGGCAGGAGGCATGGTCACCGGCCCCCTGGCTGGTAACCGGGAGGCACTGGGGGTAGTGTGTTCGGAGGCGCCTTCACCGCCACCCCCAACGGATGCTGTTGGTAAACTTTGGTAGTGAAATGTATGGAAAAAAAAGAAAAAGAAATGTATGGGCACGTGGATCTTCTGCTGTGGAATACATGGTCCAAGCACCAGTGTGAGAGCAGATAGATGGAGGCGGAATGTGATCAGATTTAACTGGCAAGTAGACGCTAAAGTCCATTTTTATTTTTATTTATTTTTTAAGATTGTATTTATTTATTCATGAGAGAGAGAGAGAGGCAGAGACACAGGCAGAGGGAGAAGCAGGCTCCATGCACCGGGAGCCCGACGTGGGATTCGATTCCAGGTCGCCAGGATCGCGCCCTGGGCCCAAGGCAGGCGCTAAACCGCTGAGCCACCCAGGGATCCCCTAAAGTCCATTTTTAAATGGACGAATTTAAAAATAGGACCGGATCAGAAAAATTAGTCAAATATATTGATTTTAGAAATGACAGATCCCTTAAAAACAAACCAAAAAAAAAAAAAAAGTGTTGAGAACTTGGCTTAGTTTGTGTTATCTAATTTGAAATCCATCTTATGCAGCAATATGTCTGCCTAAAGATTAATAATAACCAAGAGGACTTCCAGTTTTAGCTCCAAAATGTAAAAACTTGGAAGTCATCAACTTCCATCCTTACTACCAGAAGAGGCCGAACAAACTAAAAACTAATGCTTTTTCTTGGACTCATCATAGAACTGAGGTCACAGGACAAATAACAGCCCTGAAATCTGGAGAGGTGAATCCAAGGACTCATATCTGAGACCTGCTTACCTAGAACAGAAGCCTCTGAAACCATAAAGGAGGAATACTTGAATGGCAATTTTAATGAATTCCTAGAGACTGAGTGGGACTAGGGTAAGTGAAGCTATTGGGGGTTGCAGGCTTGGGAGGCCCCAGCACTTGCATGGATTTCGTTTCCAGAAACTCCAGCAAGTTTTCACCATGAAAAACCAAGAAAGATCTCTTGTCTCCTGTGGCTCTAGCAGGGGAATAAGATTAATAATTATTGTCAAATATATCCAGAGCCTTCTCCTTAATAAAGGCCTACATTCTAGAAGAAAAGATTTTACCAAAACCATATCCCAAGGCAAGGATGGTTCTCTGACCACAGCCTTCTGCAGCCTTCCTGTCTCTCCCAAGTAGAGAGGAGGAAGTTAAGAAACACTTGTGAAAGTCACAGCCCAAGGACACCAAAAGGTTTAATCATAAAATTATAGAATGCTTTTCTTCCCACACTTTACTACTGCACCAACAGTGCTTCAGTGTAGTGTCAGTTGAGTACAGGTGGAAACACTGCAGAAACACACTAACAAGAATTTTTAGGGAAATCCAAAGACAATGGGAAACAAAAACACTAGAGGAATTTAAAACTTCTAGAATGAACAGCTACAGCAAATATTAAACACAGCCCAGTTCCTAGTCACATAATAAAAAAACACATTAAAGCCCTATTTATCTCAATCCTCATTACCCAATATGCCACAGCCAGTTTTCAACAAAAAAAACAGCAAAGCTAAAGGCAAGGAAAAACTCAGTCTGAAAGGCAAAGTAAGCGACAGAACTAGACTGAGCTATGACACAGATTGGAGGATTATTAAACAGTAATATAAAATAACTGCTTAATGTGCTAAAGGATCTAATGGATAATGGGGACAACGTACAACAGATGGGTAATGAATGCAGAGAAACAAAAACTGAAAGAATCCAAAAGAAATTCTAAAAATAAGAAACACTGTAACAAATGAAGAATGCCTTGGACAAGTTCATAGGGGACTGGGCAACACTGTGAGAGCCTGAAGATAGAGCAACAGAAACGTCCCAAACTGAAATGCAAGGAGATTAGCAGTAAATAGATAATCCTGTTGGGCTTGTGGACTTCACCTTAGAATCAAATTGTTTTTCTACATTAGAAGAGGACTTTCTGTGTGTGTGTTGGGTGGGGGGGGGGTGACAATTGTCAAGGTTTCTGTCTTTTGGGATAACATCTAAACCCAGTTATCGGGACGCCTGGTGGCTCAGCAGTTGAGCGTCTGCCTTTGGCTCAGGGAGTGATCCTGGAGTCCAAGGATCAAGTCCCACATCAGGCTCCTTGCATGGATCCTGCTTCTCCCTCTGCTTGTGTCTCTGCCTCTCTCGAATAAATAAATAAAATCTTTTAAAAAAATAAAATAAACCCAGTTACCACAAAAGTCAAATTGACCATATGGATACAGTGCAAAACATTTTGAAAGCATTTAATCCTGTTTGTCTAGCATCTTTCATGAGAACTCTAGAAAAAAACATGAGTTATGTATAGTTTCTTATAAAGTAGCCTCTAACTAAAATTTTGCTGGTTGGGCTCTCAGCAGGAAGTTTTTTGTTTTGTTTTGTTTTGTTTTGAACATTGCTAAGTGCCTGAGATATAAATATATATCACCAGCATAGAGCCTGACATGGGACTCCATCTCACAACCTCAGATCATGACCTGAGCCAAAATCAAGAGTCAGACTCTTAACCAACTGAGCCACTCAGGCACCCCCAATATTACACTTATAACAATGGTTTTTCTTGATTTTTGGCCATTTTCATAATGTTGGATTGAATGCCAGACATGTAAGACAGTAGAGACTGAGGCATATCGTATTTAGGTCTGAAGTAAGTCCATCTCTTCTCTTGCTGTAACACTACTGCAGGAGGTTGAGCCCATGCAGTCAGGAGTTGAGCTGGTTTTGAACTTTTGTGTCGCTCTGGTTATTTTCAGTACACCACTATCTTCACATTTCTCTAGTGTTATCTTGTGCTTATGCTTGAGGCTATTTTCCAGAAGGCTTCTCTTAATGTTCCTGGTTCACCTTTAGCTTAAGACCTTCCCTATGTTCCTGGCACGACAGAGACTGTCTCCACACTCTAGTTCCTCCTCCCGCACGCCTGGCAATGGCTGTTCTTTGTGGCTCATGCTAGCTAGCCAGTTGGTGGGAGGAGGGGCTACTCTGTTATTCTGGTCTAGTCTCAGTGTTAGGTGGGTTCTGGAACACTAGTCGTGGGGAGCTCATAAATTGGAAAAACGTTCCTTAATGGAAAGTACTCACTTTGTTTTCTTATTACTTAAAAAAAAAAAAAAAATCTAAAACCCTTAACCTGACCTCTAAAGGCTTGTATGTCTGTCTCTTCAGGTTTCTTCTTCAAACTTTAGCCAAAATGGACTTCTTTGAATTCCTTTCTGCCAGAGGAGAAGGAGCATGTGTGAGTCTCTGCCCTTAATAAAAGCATGAGACTGGGGTGACTGGGTGGCTCAATCAGTTAAGCATCTGCCTTCAGCTTGGGTCATGATCTCAGGGTCCTGGGACTGAACTCATCCTCAAGCTCAGCATTGGGCTCCCTGCTCAGTGGGAGGGTCTTCTACTCCCTCTCCCTTTGGCACTTCCCTGCTTGTGCTCTCTCATTCTCTCGTTCTCTCTCTCTCTCTCATTTAAATAAATAAATAAATAAATAAATAAATAAATAAAATCTTAAAAATAAATAAGAGCATGTGATGACTAAAACCCCACCAGTCACCTGGTCAGTGAGATAATAATGCTCTGAATCCTGGATGACAGAACAGAAAAATAGAAGGAGGCTCAGTTCTTCATGACCACAGAGCTACCACACCAGCACTGGACTGCCTAACTCCTGACCTCATGCTGTATGAAAGAATAAGTTCCTAATTTATCTAAGCCTCTGTGTCCTCTCCTTCACTCGGGGTTCTATTATTATTGTTAGCCAAATGTAATTCCTAACAAACCATCATCTCTGTTTAATCTCATGGGTGAAAATGATTAAGAAAAACAAAGCTTTTTGTAGAATTAATTACCTTTTTAAATCAATATTTGATTTTATAGATTAGAAGGTAGAATAGAAGACTTCTGGTTTCCTTTCTCGCATTTTCTTCTCTCACTTCTTTAATTTCTAGAAGCTACTAGCTAATTCCCTTCCCTTAATCTCTGTCCTCTCAGAATCTTGATCACAACTTTTAATTCTTGCTTTTGATTTCTGCAATACCCATGTAACATGTTTAATAACTCCCAGAGTCATGTCATTTACAAATTGGATAAGCATGCCATTTGTTTTTTCAAATACTTCAAGGATAAGAATGTAGAAAAGGGTTGCAAGAACACAAGCCCTGACATACACCACTGGAGTAGCTTTCTGAGGGGAACTAAATCAGCAAACCTGGAATATGATCAACTAGTTACCAATACACCAATTTTCCTAATAAGCTACCAATAGTTGTATACCTTTCTATAAGCTCTTATTAGGAGAATTCTCAAAAAAAAAAATCTCCACTGAAGTCTAGATACATTATGATTTCTTCATTTCCCTTATCTCCTAACGCAATCCAATGGAGTGCTTAGCAACCAAATGACAGATTTTTTTGGTTGTATACATAGACTCAGGTTAACATTATTTACCTGAACTATGATATTTGTTGATGTCTTAAATGTCTTAAATATAGGTGTCTTACATAAATATAAAAATAAATGTCTTAACATTAACAGGGTACAAATCTGATCATTAAATGTTTAGTTACTTAGGAACTAAATATAAGCCCTCTCAAATGCAATGGATTTCTAAATCACA